TTATTAGGTGACACTGCTAAAGCAGGCTTAGTAAGCTTTGCTTAAAAAAAGATTTGCTTTCATTCATTATTTTTTTTCTTGAAATTTTTGTATTCTTTTTTCAGTATCTGAGTGTTATTTGGGAAATGAAAAAATAATGTTTCACTGAACCGTCCTTTAAATTGGCAAAAATAATCTTGAAGTTTCTTAAAACTGTCTTAATCCATAATCGACTTGCCCATCATTCTTGGCAGTCTTTCTCTTCTCTTAGCAAAATGAGCCGAACAAAAGCGTTAGCCGTGACTAGCGAATGATTTGTGCACTAGCACGGAGAGTGGCGAACATTGCAGATGCGCCACAAATTTTAGTGATACCAAGGATGTCAGAATTTGAATTTCTAAAACTGCGACGATACCCAGCCACTGGCCTGATTGTAAGCAACCCTCAAAAGAGAAAGCCATCGACAGTTTTGACGATGAGTGGTTGCAGTTATAATTGCTAACACTTTGAACGACCTACCGGGTGCGTCCGCCTCTCAAAAGGAACAGGTATGAAAGACACTTAATTTTTGAAAATTACGGTGCTAAATCGGTTGTATAAAGCGAGGAAAAGATTTTTATTCCTTTCCAATCGCACATATTAAGGCCAAGATCGCCTAGAGAATTAGTGCGGATTTCATACTAGTAATTTTTTTGAGGCGGCATAACTGTTCCCAATAATAATGAGAGGGTAGCATCATGACCAAGCAAACAATAATAATAATATTACTATAAAAGGAACACAGTTGTGCACAATTTACATTATAAAAACTGTCCTGAGAGTTGGAGTCAAAAGCACATCTCAAAGTTGATATTGTTCTGTGGACGTTCCATTTTTCATATGCCCCAATATTACAGAACGGCCTCATGCTTCCAAAAATTTATTACAGTTGTATTATTTGGTATTTGTGTTGTATGCAGCTACATTAACGCAAAATAAACTTGAAAGTTCTAGTGGAGTGGGCTCAGCAACGGTATATATTTTCTTCTATGTCATTGTCCATAATGGCTTTAGCTACGCTGGACACAATAAGTCACAAGTGTTCAGTACTCAGTGTGCACCACGATAACCAGCAAACACAAGTGTTTGCGATAATTTGCAACCTCTGCCATAGAACTACTGCTAAAATATGCTTTATGTGTTATCAAGGTTTTCTTAGGTTCACCTGGACACTGGGCACTAAGGTCAAACAAAATTTATCCTACTGAGATGCGCCTATTAAATCTGATTCTGCCCGTTCATTGTATACCTTTAGTTAGAACTCGCCATCCGACGTATTTGCGTTAACTTCTCAAAAATCATCCGACTAGTTATCTTCGATTACGTAAACACCTACAACAGATGCATGAAACGCATAATGCCAAGAATATCAAGATCCCCCAGGCTATCACTGTGGATATCTCATGTTAGTTGTATGATTGGAAGGAGGGAGAGGGGGTCGCCCACACATTGAGCCCAACTGTGTCAGATTTTTGGGTTGTATGCCTCCAATTATTGCTCATCACCTATTCTATGTATGTGCGCCACCTCTTTCGCCTTAGTGTTCGTTGAAATGGATAAAATACATTATTTTATTTCGAATCTGCTGCACGAAAATGTCGGAAGCTTTAGCAAGAAGCGTTAGCTTACACGAGTGGACGTGTCCACAACAGCTTAACACAATTTTTACACAACACAGTCACAATATATGGCAGTCAAATAAAATTCGAAAAAAGGCTGAAAACATGCGGCAGTAGTACCACAGCTTTCAAAAACTAATGAAAAGTCATCGTCACGAATCCTTAAA